AAGGATCCCGCCGCAGCCGGGGGACGCAGCGCCCAGCCCCAGCTCTCCTGGCAGGGCTCTCCCTGGAAGCGCCGCATGCCAGCGGCAAACCGCAGGGGTTGCTGCACTGCCTGCCTCTTTGAAAGGCACGGCTTTTTCAGACTAGGCTGAACTTAAGCAGTGGGTCAGAGAAGTGTAAAACTCTCTACGTTTTCCTATAGAATTGAGGTCTGTTGCCTTTGTCCCTGTACATTTTTGCCACTCTTAGGGCTGAACCTCTGCTTCCATAGACATTGTTATCCTTTTGTCCTGGTTTCCAAACCTGTCCTGGGAACATAAGAACTAACCAGACCCCCCATGCTGGGCTGCTCGTGTGCCCTGTGAAATAACCATCACAAAGCGTGTGTGACCTTCGTACCACGGGTACATGGGCAGGTTTCCACGGCCCTGGCGTACCGCTGCACTCGCAGCCGCTGCGTTAGGAACAACCGAACACCAGCGGCGTGCAAAGGCTTTGGCCCTTTCCCGCATTTCTGATCCCAAAAGAGAAGCAGCCCTGCACAAACACACGCAGACACGTCAGGGCCAGGGAAGGAGCTTCCCTGAGCAGGAGACCTTCCCACAGACTCACCGTTGCAGAGGAGCAGAGGAGTCATGAGCAGGACGGCTCCCACCAGCACCCCCATCCCTCCAGGGCTGCAGCGTCTCCCTCTCGAGTAGAGCAGACCTGCTGTGTCCCAGGCAGGGGGTAAATCAGGAACAGCTCCCTTCTTCACTCACTTTGTCATCAAGAACCCAGGACAGCTGGTGATGGTTTTTCCTTCCTCTTTTTCAGAAAAAAAAAAAAGTGCCTCAGTGTTGACTGTCAGAGGTGTGAGCAGAACAGAAGCCCTAAGGGAGAGTGAAAAGAGGAAAGTTTAAGAATTACTACTCTATTTCATATTTACTGCTGAGTATGCTTTTTTTAACCTTCTGTTTTTTAATTCCACTTTTTAAGAAGTTTCCTTTGTTTCTTTTTATTCCTAAGCACCTGTTCTTCCTCTTTTCCTCCTTGCATTGCTTTCTAAATAGTAAGTTTTAACATGCACGTCACATACAAGAAGGTCTAAGACACCTAAGCAGCTAAACAACCAAGGTCCCTACTATTCATTTTCTTACCAGCTTTTCTATGAAGCTCACCACTGCATTTTAAATTAAGATTCATGAAACACCCTAAATCTTTACAGTACCAGTGTGAGACAGATGGTTATGGTAGGTCCCTTCCAACTGAAATGTTCTATTCTATACCATTATATCCCATTTAAAAGGTGGGGAATTTAGGTATTCAAATCTGAAAAAAAGTAACTTCCAAGAGCTGCAGGCAGCTGGTTTGACCATCTCACTCTGTGTCACAGATTGATTCTCCTTTCTCACAGAGCAATTTAGCTGCTTGGTTGAATTGATTAATTGCATTCAATTAAAAACATGGATCAGAGCCATATGCACCCGCATTTCCCTGTAGACTCCTTTGGAAACAGGTAAACAATTACATACCTAGAGAGAAAAAAAGGAACTTACCCAAGTAGAAAATCTTTGACAGTATGAAATTTGACTTAACTGTAATGAGATGTATTTTTTCACTGTATTCAGCTATCGGTACGAGCACTTTGCTATTGTTACATCCAAATTCAACATCCAGTCCTCAAATGCAAGTAACCAGAATGATTAAACACGGTCAGCAAAATCCTAGACCGTTTCCTGGAGTACAGCCCTCCTTAATGACAGTGAGACAACGTTTGCCTCGGTAGAAGCACGGTGCAGGGGACCAGAGCGATCAGTGCTGCGTACTTGATTCTGAAATAGTGCCAATGTGGGGAAAAAATATTTCTGTCAGTCTTAGATATGGCTTAAAGATGGCCCCACATATATTGTCACGTGTAGGCAGCTTCATGAGGTTGCTAAACCAGGAGACTGGTGTACAGAGCCCTGGGAGCTCTGATACCACCTTGTTCCTTTTCTTCTGCGGTCTCTGCTTTCACGTACATCCTTACCTTGGAGTGACAGTTCATTCTGCAAACCAGTGGTGCTTAACAGCATGTATGCATGTAGAAGGGTGAGGGTTTTTGACTACTTGTTATTGGCACTGATCCAATTACAATGGTATTGTTATGAGTTTGAACGTGGTTCTTCCCGGGTTATGACATTCCGATCTCCGATTCCCCGAAGCTGGTGATTTTACTACACACAATTTTCATGTATGCATAAAACATAAACGCCCAAAGCCAACCTAGCCCTACACCATCAGTCCCATTCCCAAAAGCTTTGACTCCGTGGTGTGTTTAAACCTCCTTATTTTTCCAGAGGCTGAAAGCTCTGAAAGCCAGTGCCAGGCTAACCCTGGCATTTCAGTTATTTTTGAACCAGCAGCACTGTGTAATGAGATCCCCCAGCGCACAGCAAAGCTCTCCTTTTTAGAAAACCCAGTAAACAGGTTTGGGAAGTATTGGCACACACAGGAACACACACAAAAATAATGTACAAGAAACAGAGTAATGGTTTTGCAATTCTTGGGTTTAATTACTTCAGTATGTGGGTTTCTCTTACTATTCAGCCTTCCCCTTTCCATTGCAATCTTTCTTAGGAAACCTGCATAAACACTTTTCCTAGACCAGTACATAAACCAGACACAGATGCACAAGTTTTTATTTGCAGTTTTCTTAAGCCTTGGTTTCTTAACTTCTTAAGAGAGAAAGCATTTAAAAAAACTATTATGCAATCAGATCAAATATCTGATGGTGAGATGAGCTGAGATCAGAGGGCTCCATGATGGAAGAACATGACTAATCCATAACAGGAACTACCCTTTAGTCTAACCTGTTCAGGAAGTGAGTTACAGAAGATCAGCCTCTCAGAGAACGCTGCTGTCTGCACCGTGCTGTCAAAACAGCAGAAGAAAAGTCTGGTTTTTTACTGTTTTACTCTTGGCAAAATTGAGGCCTTTGGGAAGAAATAAAAAAAAAAAAACAACACAGAACCCAAGACAGATATACAATTCATTCATTTCCCCCTCTCCCTTTAGCTCATGAAAACTTGAGACTATTCAGCCCTTTGTCTCAAGAAGTAAGCAAAAGAAAGACTAGAAAAAGGTAGAGTAAGACGTACTTGACAAAAGGCAATTCAAAAGATACAAACACGAAGGGTCATGAGGTGAAAGCAGTTACAGAAGTACGGGAATAAAATGACACTGCGAAGGCACTACACATATACACACAGTAGCAAGATCCTCCTCTGCAACTCAAAAGATTTGACAATGAAGCACAAATCCAATTAAGTAACACCAGCACAGACAACATGCATTACCTAGTAGGCTTCAGAATATCAAATTACCTTGGATTCTTGAATATAAAAGAAGTAAAATCTTACTACTTCAGAAACTTTGGAGAGAACAAAGCCTGTAGGTAACCTGAATTCCTAAAACTGAAAAAAAATCTTCAAGAAATTGCGCTGGTAGGAAATATCCCATGATATTATACAGCGGGTTTTCTACCTGCCTCCAGGCCTCCTCTTCAGTTCTGTATCGCCACAGCAAATCTCAAGCGTGTGTGTGTTAGTGGCAGACGGCTACAGACTTGGTGTCAGTGAAGGAGAACTTGATATTGCACTCGCACCAGGGGCTGCGCAAAGACGTCAGGGAAACAGCACAGAAAGGAATTTTGGGGAGAGATTTTTTGATTAAGCAGACACTAGTTTTTGTAATCTGCTGTCAAAGGACTCAAACACATCTAGCTAATTTAGCTTTAGGATTCCACAAGCAGCAAACGCAGCACGAAGTCCAGTGCTCACACAGGGCTGGGTGAACAAGCAGCTACTGCAGGCAGAAGAGAAACGTTAACGTCACGTCCTACGTCAGTGCAGGTTATGCCACGGCTCCTATTTTTCCCTTCCCTCTCATTTTAAGGGCAGCTGCTGGACTCTGCTAGACGTGAATCAGTTCTACTCAAAATTTCTGAGGACATGTGACCTGTGAGTGAGGTGCAAGTTACCCGAGAAGAGCTGCCATGCAATGTGCATGAGAAAGCAGCGTTACGCAGGGTGGCGAGCACTTCCTACAACACTGACAGCCCGTGGCAATGGATGCGTGTTAGCACGTTAAAAACTAACATCCCACAGTTAAAATGTAATTTTCCATAGGAAAAATGTTGCCTGTACCTAGGAGCAAATCTAGGAGTAGAGCGCAAACACAAACAATTGTAGCCACAGACTATCAAAAAAGAAATCTCAAATTAAAAACAAAATCTTAAAAAAATCCTAAGTTCCAAACAGCAGACAAGCCACCTATTGAACAGGCTCTCAAAGAGTAAAACCCACGTTTAAAATGTTACACACATTACTATCCAGTCAACTGAAAAAAAACCCCAAACCAACCAAAACCAAACCAACAAATACACCCAGCCAAACTTTACAAATGGGATACAAACAGATTTCCTCTTGCAATAAGGATATCAGATAAAAAGTTACGGAATACACTGCAGTATGTTTACAGGGATGTTGCTCTTCCCCTCTACCCAGTGCCTTCACTCCCACCAGCTCGTTTTTTGAGCTTGTTTTCAGTTTTTCCAGGCATGCTCTTTGCTTGTAGGAAGAGAACTTTTGCCTACACAGAACACAACACCCAGGAAGCAGGTGAGGTCAAGCTTCTTGCCAATCCAGTCCTTCGTTGTCTGTCTCACATCACTAAGCCAGTTGCAGGTGTCACGTGAGCTCAGGAAGTTTCTATCTCAGAGGCTTCTTCTATGAAGTTAGCAACAGGACTGAGAAGCAGGAGTGGAAACAGTTTATACTCTCCATTGCCATCTTCCGAGAGCAGAGGGGGATCCCCCACGCCCAGAGCATCCAGAGGCTCGGCCTGGCTTGCTGGAGCTGCCCCTGGCAGGACAGTTCCACCACCTGACGGAGGATGAAGAGCAGGTTTCTCCTCCAGGGAGGGCAGTAGAAGGTCTTTTGGATCCTCCATCTTCCCTGCAGCTTCACTTAAAGGCAGTTCTTCAAATAATGAAAGCAGAGGGTTGGCCCTGTACTGTATCAGCTGCATATCTGAGGGAAAACAGACAGTTTAAATGCCAGGCGCCCGTGTCATGTAAATCTTAAAGACAAGGAAAAGTGGAGAGGCTGCTTCAAAACTTGGTTCGGTCGGGCAACCCACAGAGCTGGGCTCTGGCAGACTACAGGCACGGCTGGGGAGGGGAGCTCAGGCTCAGCACAAGCCCCGGGACAGGCGGCAGCACCGCAGCCCCTGGGGGAGACACCCCGAGGACACCTGCAGCTCTGCTCCCCACCGCCACGAGTCAGAGGGAGGGAAGGTAACACCAACACGGGGCACAGGATGGGGCCTCTTCGGATTGAGGCACAGCTTCGTCCAGATCAGTGAAACATTCCAACCTTCACAAACATTTTAAGCCCAGACCAAATGAGGAGATAAACCATATTACGGGCTACAAAAATTCCATTTCAACACACAGTTTTGGAAGAGTCTGGAACTGCCACAACTCTCAGTGCTCCTTCCTGCCCACCTTTGCTTCCTGCTGCTTCTCTCTCACTCGCTCCCAGATCTTCAGTGCTCTCTGCCAAGTTTGCAATCTGAAGCAAAACAGATAAAGAGTAAGAGAATGCTTAACAAGAACCACAGCAGCAAAACCCAAGCCTTCACCAACTGGTTAGTAAAATTAAAGGGGAAAGGAGGAGGGAAGAGAAATGAAACAGTCGACCAGTGAGCCCATTGTTGCACTTGAGGGCCAGCAAACAGGAGCTCAGAATAAGACACAGTGAAACACAGACTAAACTTACTAAAGCCAAACAAGCTTCTGATTAGCAAATATTTAATTTATCTTCTAAACCAGAAGCTTTATTATAGTCTGTCTTATTGGAATAACACTATTAAACATGATTTCATCAATGTAATTACATTTTGCAAGTGCTGCTTGAACACAGCTTCATTTTACCTCAATTATGGTCTAAGCTCTTATGACTGGGCAGTCCTTGGTTAAATATTCCAGGACTACAAAATAAATTACACTTGCAAGGGTTTTAAACGTGAGTCAGTTTTAGGAACTGGACCAAGAGAAGTAAATTTGCACTGAACTTTTGTATACCCTCTGAGGAAATTCCATACAGCGTGTTCAGAATACATACAGTGTACTGCATTAGATTCTTCATTTAGTACTTCAGTCTTCAGACAGACTGAAGACACATGGTCTCATGCGAACTATAACCCCAGACCTAGTTACTACTTGGCTAAAAGACATCCTGGGAATCCCTGAGGCTATCTGAAACAAGCCGAGAAACTGTTCTCACACACTTAGACCAGAAAAAGACAAGATTTTCTACCCTCCTCATTCTAAACAGAAGGCACAGAAGAGATAGGAAAAAGAAAATTTGTCAGTACAGACAGCTGATTCAACGGACACCAGTCTGATTCCCTCTTCCTTCTGTTCTCAGGTGTATTCAGGAAGCAAACACTCTCAGCAAACTGACAGTTCAAATCAGCCCGTGAGTGCATTACTGCAGCTAGGAACATAAGACTTGAAACTATCTTGAGAGCCCTCTTAAATTCATAGATGCTAACAGGGACAGCTGAGACACTGTCAGCAGTCCAGATAAAATGGCAGTTCCATCCTGTGCCGTCAGTCCAGCCCCCACCCTCCGTCAGAGTTCAGCTCTCAACATCGCCTTAACCCTCCCCATCATAGGAGCAACTCTTACTCTTACATTTTCCATACCAGGGCAAGTTTCCATCAAGCTCATATCCAGGGCTGGCAGCTCAGGATTAAGTGTCTGAAAACAAAACCAGACCATATGTCATATAACAAGGTTCTTAACACTCCAGAGGCTCCTGAAAGGATGGCAGGACCCAGCACACGGCTCCGTGCACTGAAGCCGAGGGAAGGCGGCTCCTCGCAGGCCCCCGGCAAGGTACCCACCTGCAGCCTCGGGCAGGACAGCACGAGAAAATCACCCTATTTCCCAGTGATTCCAGGTCTATGGCTGAGTTTCAATCCATATCATAATGCATAATCAAACACATAATCAGGATGTGATGTGATGGTATGTGACAAAGTCTTGAGAAGAAGAAAATCTGATTTTTTCTTTTTTTTTTTCCCTCTTGAGTTATGTGTAACAGAAATACTGTATGAACTGAAAAAGGCTCTCAATGTTACCTCGTACATTGTTAGGCTCCTAGAATGACTAGGTATTATTCTATCCATAACAATTTGCTTCTCAGCATTTTCTCCCTTCTTGACCATTACAACATGGAATAAATCAGTACAATTTTGTAATGCAACCTAAGCAATAGTTTTCAGAAATCACAAAAAGTGGAAAGACACTCACATCACTGAAAGCTTCAGAACCAAAGTTATACTGCTTCCCAGATAGCATTGCTTGAAGCTCTTCAAGGCTGGCATCAATGCAATTAAGAAAATCCTGAATTTCTTCTCTAAAAAGAGAAAATGATACAGTACTGTAAGAAACACTTGGCAGTTAGGCCCATCTTTTACATGACAAGGCATAAAAAACTCTTAGAAACAATCTGCTGACCTCTCAGTTCTCACAGCTGTGGGGCAAGACGAGAGCCAGACTAGGTCACACGTACTGACAGGACAAGGGGTAGCGGCTTCAAACTGAGACACTAGATCTGAGGCAGAAATTGTTCCCAGTGAGGGGGGTGAGGCCCTGGCACAGGCTGCCCAGAGAAGCTGTGGCTGCCCCCTCCCTGGAAGGGTTCAAGGCCGGGTTGGACGGGGCTTTGGGCAACCTGGGCTGGTGGAAGGTGGCCCTGCCCGGGGCAGGGGGTGGCACTGGAGGGGCTGTAAGGTCCCTTCCCACCCAAACCATCCCGTGATTCTGTGATGTTAGAGGGCCTTCAGACCACACTGAGTGCTGTGACTCATGCTCTCAGTACAGCAGAAGAGCTGTGGCAGTGGCAGAGCCGAGGGGCTGCGCAGGGCTGGGAGCTGCCGAGCAGCAGCGCCGCAGAGCGAGGCCACGGCCTGCGCCTCTCTGCTCTGACCACGCCAAGGGAAGCCAACCCTCCCAGACACGAGGGGCAAAGAAAGGAAGCAACAGCATCAGACTGCCGCTGACGGAAACCCTCATCCAGAGCTCAGAAGCAGAGCAGCCCGTGGTGCTCCCCCTCTGCTGTTTGGCCGCACCGGCAGCGCCCGCAGCTCCGGGAGGTGACAGGGCGCCCGCCGAGCCCCGGCCCGTGGTGTGGGGCAGCAGGCAGCCCAGGGCCACAGCTCCCACAGACCAGCTTGCCCCGCTCTTCCTGTATGGTGTTAGCGACCTTTACAGGGTCAGAAACTTCAGTTCATCAACGACATCTGAAAAGCTAATTCACAACGTTCTGCTAAACACAGCCTCTAAAACTTTGACAAGATCCCACAAGATGACGACAGCCTAACAGTTTCCAGAAGCAAGTTAATACCTGTCCAGTAAAGGATCATTTTGGTTCCCAGAGTTGTTCTCATTCAAGATGGAGTCAATCACAGACACGGGGTCTTCTGGAGCATTAGGCTGCGCAGTATGGAGTTCCACAGCAACATTGCCCGTGTCGCTGCATTTGCTGACATCGTTTCTGTGAACTGGTGGGATAGGTTCTGCACAGTTTAACTCATCTGGCTGCGCTACTTGGCAAAGAGGTAAGCCAGGATCCAGAGCTGCCTGTGTATCTCTAAAACATGACCCAAAGAGAAACAGCACACAGGAGAATTCATCACTTGTATTACTACCCATCCCAAGTTTATCTCAAATCTTAATATCTAATAAGGTCAAGGCAGACAAGGGTTCAGCCAACCAACTGGTCTTTGGAAAAGGAAGAAAAGTGCTTTCCTAAAGGCAGATGAAGAATCTCTTATTACAGCTAATACAGACAGCATGTATCAGAGCAAAACACCCCTTTTGCCAGGCTAAAAGCAGCAAAATAGCATACGGAAATTAGGCAGGATGGAAACTCCAAACATTGTGTCTCTAGAAATAAAAGATTCCAAACTGGGCCATAATTCACTCTGGAATGTTAGCAGCTAAATGGGTTTTCACAGGAATCTGATGCCACACAAAAGAATGCCTTCCCTTCAGTTGTGCTTAGCACAACATTAGCGAGTAGGACTGAAACCAGAGATAAAACTATACACCTTGGTTTGTTTCTTGGTAACCTATCTGCATTTTGGATTGTTTATTAGTAACCTATATATGCATTCAGGTCCCTGTTCAGTTGAAAAGTTAAGTACGTGCTTATTTGTTGAACAGAGAAGCCTCAGCAAATTAAACTCCAAGTGCCAATTAGCCTGACAGGGCTGCGAGCACTCCTGACGTGACAGGAGCTCTCGAAAGGCTTTGCTGGCCATGACCAGGACTACACGCTGTAGAAAAGACAGCCTACAAACTGGCCTGTCACGTACAAACGGAGCTAAAATTCAGAGAGGCTGCTGCCCAGAATTCCTGTGGCTCACTTACACCGACAGAACTACCTAGTTAACAACCTAAGCACGACACCCTTCCAGCGTACCTGGCTCTGCCGCTCGTGTGCGCCACGGCGAGGAGGCCGTCGGTGGCACTCTCCAGGGTGTCAGTGATATCTCGAATGATGAGACCTGTGCCATTTCCACCGTCGCCATCTGCGTCGTGTTCAGAAAAAGACACCTGCAGGGTACAGCAAACAGAATGAGTACACCAAAGGGTTCCACTTTTTGATGTTGAAGCTCGGTTCTTCTTGCAGCGTCTATCTCCTGTTCAGGTTTCACCTGTGACCAGCCGTGCCGATTTGCACGATTTTACAGAGCAATGTTTTAAAGCTGCCCACTTCAACACGGCGTGCACGTGACTGTCAGATTAGGGTATTAACAGTTATAAGGAAGACTGAGATCCCTGCCTGTCACCCTGCCCAGCCCATGACTCCCCCCCGAACACCTACCGCCTGGCCGCTCTCCACGGGGATGCGAACATACTGCCGGCTGTACTTGGAGGGTGAAGCACCTGCAGCATCCGTTAGAGACCTGAGACAAAAGAGGGCTTTAGCCCATAGCTCCACAGTGAAAGGCTGCAGCAATGCCAAATACATGCAGCGAGAGCAAGAACAACCATTCCTCCACTTCTAAGAAAACTGGCTTTTTAGGAATGTTTTTAGTAAGGATACTGTAGACAGGCTGCATTCTAAACATCCTTTCTGTTTTGAGTCAGTCAGTCACATCTGCACATTTTGAAAGAGTTACCATTTCTGATAACTGTGCCCTTTGAAATTTAAAAGGCATAGTATATTCTCTTCCCACCCATTTTTTTTATTACGAAAAGGAAATCTTTATTTCATGCTTTTTTCAACTTCCATCAGTTTTCTCAAGTTTGAATATACGAGTGATAAAAACATTCTTCATACACTTTAAGAAAAGTATCTTGCTTCTAGCGGCTGATTTATCCCTATAATTCACATCTGACACTGATTTGTGACCCGTCCAGTAATTACCTTTTTCTTTTGACCCCGAGAATGTAATTTCCTCGCATCAAACTTAGGATAAATTGAAGAATCTAAAAAGGAAAAACAAAAAACCAAAACAAGTGGTTAGCAAAGCAATCCTAACAAATTATTAATTCAGATTTTACTACAAAATGATGTAGTTATGCAATAGAAATTAATAGGCACATTAAAAATTCATTTGCATTTGCATCTTAAAAACCAAAATTATAGTTACAAATCGCATTGAAAAATTATCCCACTTGGACAGGTTTGGGTTTTTTAAAATGTAATGTAACACCAAGGTCACTAGAGGATTCCAGACCAGAAACAGCTGAGGGATAAACCAGAGAAAATTTGTTGCAGTGCAGAAGCTCCTACAGTTTCTGGGCTCCAAGTTGACTTCTTGAATGGTCTAAGTCTGTCTTGGTCCAAGATCCTTCACAGACTCCGTCCATGTGCCTGCAATCTCTCGTTTAGGCTCCTGTTACCATGCACTACCATGCACCATGTTTACCCCAGGTCCGCTTGATTTACTGATTTCTCTCCAAATAAGATTCACTGATATTTCAAACGCAATTAAATCCTTTTTACTACGACTTTTCCTTAGTCTTTTGCTCGTGGTTCTTTGCTGTGCTACTTCTGGGACACTCAGGAACTGTGAACGTTTTCTTTATGCTGTATTAATATAGCCTGTTCAGCTCTGTGTCATTTGCCATTCTACATAAGCAAAGAATGCCATCAGGTGTCACCGAGGCAGGAGCAAGGGTGGTGGCACTGAAGAGGCTGCAAGGGTACCTTAGACAGCAGCTTCTGTTGTTGACTGTGCTTCTGCCTTAGAACTGCCACTTCTTTCCACAGGGCCTTATTTTCTCTGCAATGCAGAATAAATCAGAAGACAGAGGATGAACAGAGTTTACTTTATATGCTTTAGTTTTACAGCTTTCAAGCTTTCACAGTACCTTGCAGGACCAATGGCAACATTCTTTCCGTGGATAACTAACAACCAGTTAAGCCAATCCACTAGTATAAACTCTGGGTTAAATTAACTCCGTTTTCCATCAGGCAGGACCAAACACTCACTAATGACATTCTCATCCTCTGCTGCTCCAGCAATAATCTCGATCTGAAGTATTCCTTCAAAGCCTCAAAGCCTTAGAATAAAGACTTGGTCTTTGGAAACAGGAGTAACACAGACCATCTCAGAACAGTTTCAGAGTTTGTGTTTGAGGGCTTTTTGTTTTGCTTGGTGTTTTTTTTTTTTTTAAAGGAACAGAGGGAGTGGAGCGAGGGTACCTCCTGAACTCTGGTTGATACCTGCTTGCATACCAGTGATCTCAATGAATCACCAGTGCCTGTATGAAAAGGATCTGAGGGAACAGAGATGAGGACATGCGAAGTCCACTTCCCATTAGAAAGAAAACCGAAGACTAACTCTCCCTCACTGCATCTAACCCTGTTTTCTGTTTAGAAAAGGAAATGCTTTCATTACCCTAAAAAACTGCTACAGGTGATGGCACCCAAAATGAAATCTCAAGATAGTCAACAAACTCCCAGTCTTAATCTCTGGTCTGTAACTGAATTGTAAAAGCAAACAAGATTCAGAATGTTGTGTGGGGTGGAATGGGCATTCTTAGAAAAAATTATAGCTTCACCTGTTTCCAGTTCAAACGAAACCCACATTTAGAGTCAAGTTCCATTAGATACAGCAACACTCAGTGTAAAGTGCCTCTGAAAGGGACAGAGTCTACCTCTTCATGTTAGCCAGCCTGACATCCATGTTGTTCTGCTGCTCTCTCATCTCCTGGACTTCAGAGAGCACTTTGTGCAAATCCTCTGTACAGACCTTGAGATCCTCAGTTCTTACTGCAGATACCTGAAAGAGGAGCAGGTTACACATGCTTTACTAACAGTGCCTTGCATACTCCCCGCCACAGGAACAGCTTAGTTAGTCTGTAGAAGAACTGGTATAAACTCCATTAAAAGTTTAGGTAATACTATAGTTCTTATCACAAAACACCACAACCGCCAGACCACAGTCCTTAGGACAGCCTACACTGTGTGAAAAAAACAGCTGACAGTGCAAACCTGAGATTAGCTCTTTGTGGGTGTAGACAGTAGATTGACTGTTGTAATTCACGATAAAAGACCACCGCTGAGTGAAAAGGGCCCTCCCCAAGGGTCCCCTCAGACAGGACTGGCGACAGCTTGCCCTCCACTGTCAAAGGGCAAGACACGGGCCAGGACCAAAACACAGAACTGCTAGTGCGGTGAGAACAAGACAACTGTGTTCCTCTTAGGTGTGGGTAAATCTGCCAGCACAGCAGTAACACATTTTTGTTAGTTCCTGAGGGGAGGCGGAGGGAAGAAGGAAGGTGTCTAATTAGATGAATCCTGTGCAGTTTGAAAGTTTGTCCCACGCCAGCTGCATTGCAGGTTCCCAAACTGGTGCTCCCTCTACTGACATTCCGAAGTTATGGAGACCCTCCTCCAGAAAGTCAGAGTCCAGACTGCTCTTCTGCCCACAGCAGAATCCGTGAATGCCACCTCTTCAAACCATGGTGGGAGAGTCATCAGAACGCAAAAAGCTCACTCACCCTCCTCCCCACGCTTCCACATTCAAAATTTTCCAGTCCCTTCAGCAGCTCCCTCTGCGGCGGCGGCACTGACAGCCAACACGCAAGGCAGGGTTTTGAGAGACGGGTCTGGTGCATCACACCTCTGAGTGACACGTCCAGGTTTTATGGGCATAATTTGAAGAATCCTTCAGCCAAATACTGACCATCATTGAACCAGAGGGACTTGCAGCAGATCACCACCAGGTGTCCCTCCCCACCTGCAGCATGCTGTGATTTTTCTTACTCTACTGAATTCCAAGGGGGAGGTGAAAGCATCTGTGCCTGGCCCGCTGAAGCGCTAGGAAATTTCCATGCAGGCTGCCTCGCAGACCCCTTCCTTTTCAAAGGAGAATGGGATGGTCAGAAATGGACCTACAGTGTTATAAAATAACATCCCATCACTTCCTGACGGAACAGAACGTACTGCTATGTGATCACTCCACAGAAATAACTTTCTTCAGCATGCCACCTCTCCACGGGGAAGACACCCAAAAGACGCAGATGGCAGGTGGAAACTTCAAATGCAGTCAGACTGCCTCGGAAAAAAGGGCCAAACTAAAGTACCCTGCCCAAGTGCAAGGAATTGCTCTCTTCGGAGTCTCTAAGCAGATAATAAGGGCGTCAAGACTGAAGCACACCAGCAGAGCTGACGCTACCAGGGAGAGAATAAAGGAAGTCTCACATTCAAAGCTGCATTCTCGTTAGAGGCTTGAACTCCAGTTTACAGCAAGTACTGAAATAGGACTCTGTTCCAGACAGCAAAAGAGCAGGAAAAACTAGTGGACTTGTGGAAAAATTCACTAACATTTCCTGTGCAACAAAGAACATTCAATAGTTTCATGTGAACGTCCCTGGCACTCACTAGAGCTTTTGTCTTTCTGTGGGGAACACTCCACCCAGCGCAGCGCTCCGGGGAAACTCGGTGCCACACACAACGCCGGCGGCCCACGGCACAGCCCGGCGAGCATGTGAGCAAGCACGTGAGCAAGCAGGTGTGCAAGGCAGCCAGGTGTGCAAGGCAAGGCAAGCGAGCTGTTGGGGTGCCTGGGAGGGGTGGAGGCCTGACTTGGGAAGCAGCTGCATGACGACACTTCCCAGCTGTGACTGGGAGCAGAGACAGCTCGGTGAAGAATCAATCAAAACACAATTGTGACTCTGAATCCTACCCTGCGCTTTTATGAACTCGGGCAATAGAGCTACCACATTACGATTACTACATGCTAAAGAAAAGATTCTGCAGTTCAGATGTCAACATGATGGATCATGATAGTCTCTTTCTCTGGCAGCCAGGATATTATGGACTGTAATGTGCCAACAGAGGATAAATATCTGTGCAGAAACAGGTCAGACAAGACTCGAATGTACAACAGAAAACTGGAAAGCGCTAATAAAGATGTAGCTCAGTGGCAGCACCGTTTTGGAGGAACAATGTAATTTATGCAAACTTGCCCAAATCAACCAATTACTGATGCCTTTGCTAATTTTCAGTGAGCACCAACTGGGAATGTATTTTCTTTTACTTCTTTCACTTTGTGACTCTTTGCAGCTCCGCTATGCTGGCAGAATTGAAGACCGTGCCAAGCTGTAGGCGGGTACGTGAACTCTCTGTGGAAAAGGGGCTCCAGTCTGCCAGCGAGGAAGAGCGCGGTCCAACCGCCGGGCACTGCTAAGCAGCAGCAGGGCGCGTTTGTCCAAGCGCTGGCACGGGGAGGCCAAGCTGAGCACCAGTGTGGCATTCAGGAGGGAGTCAGAGGCTTGCATCATGATGCACAACCTTGGTTCCCATGGAACTTGTTGGCTGTAAAGGGTCTGAAAGCCCCAGACATGCTCTTGATAAACTCCTTTTTGTAACCAAGCAAATACATTCCTGGACTGTACCTTGCGCTTGATGTTCTCCAGTAAATGTGCCTTCCCTTGCTTGAAGAAAGGGTGCTGGAACTCAATGACTGAGCTTCTCTCTGCTGTGATCATACCATTCTCCAGAGCAATCACCTTCCTGAAGCCATCTGTGGAGAAGCAGTAACAAGGTCAATTCTTTCAGTGCAAAGCTGACTGTCACAACACACGGCTAAAGAAAACCCACGGCTACTGCAGTGCCTACAGCTCCACAGTGGCTGGGAGCAGAAGCCATGAGAAACAGCCAAAGCAGCTTCTCTTTGGTGCTCAATTTGACTGCTCTGATCTTCACAGCTGGAGAACACGTCCAGAACACTATCGAATGACTTCGCAGGCTGTCCCAACAGCTTGCACAGCAGAGGCCAGATAGTGTCTGCAAGTGAGACTGCGATGTCCAAATAATCACAGAAGTCAGTTAGAAATGAGATTTATTAGGACATCTTGAATACAGCCTTGTCCCCGTGGAAGCTGTGGAATGATGCACTGTCCCTTTCGTGCCTATAATCCCAGACAACTACATACCAAATAAGTGCTGTCTGTACCACCGGGGTCTACAGAATAATGTAAGGAAGAGAAATTAGTTCTCAGCCTACACAAACACACACTTTCTCCATACCAGGCTGCCTGTATAAAATAAGACATCGCCAGCTGTTTCCATCACCACTTCAAGTACCACAGGGTACAGATGTAAGATACAGTGAACAGATCAATCCATACCTTTCCTGGTTGGAGTTTTTAACATAGTTAACATATCCCAGTTTCACTGCACCTCAACAGTGCTATCATTAGCAAACTTTACTTGGAGCTAGGAGAGACGGGTCTGGTGGGAAAAGGCGCCTGCCACCGCACTGCCTGTCTTCACAGGAACATCTGCACTGCAGCTTTCACCCTTGCTACAAGGCAACTGACAATAGTTTGTTTGCGTTATCCTTTGACATTCAGGTGGTGGAGTCTCAGCACTCCACAGAAGCAACAGCATCCACCCCATTTCAAGAGGCTAAACACACCTTCTCCCTCACGTCTGGCAGAATCTGGACAGCGGTCAGCTCGAGAGCCCGGGCAAACCTACGGGGCCAGGCCAGAGAATGCCTCCTGCGCCCTCATGGATAGTCTCACCAAGGCGGTTTGCACCTTCGCCCAGCCCACAAGCTCTCTGCTGCAAAACAACCGTTTCAGCCGTGTGCTGCAGCCCTGCCGATGGTGCGACACCTCCGAACTACCCCGACTCCAGCTGCTTCGCCTGTACAAGCTGTACACGTGCTCCACAATGGACACCACGTGCTGCTCACAAGTCGCGCACAGAAAACACAGTGAGAAACTTAGTCCAGCTTCATCCCTCAGCATGACTAATCCTGTTTCAGCACAGCAGTGCAGGCAGCAGCATGATCTCGGCATTTTTTCCCCATGTACTAGATGCAGGGGTGTAGACGCAGCCTTTGTTCTGGGTAGGACAGATTGCTGTTACCATTACCACTACCACTGGGGCCCAGAGGACTCCACCCATGCTTCAGGTACCACAACATGGAATAATATTTTTATGGTTGTTACTCAAAAGGACTCAGAGCACAGAAAAGAAGGACAAAGCCAAGCTCTACTGTTATACTTCTCTTTTGCAAAGCGAACTCAAGACCAGAATTCAGGTTTTCAGGGATGAAAGACCTGCCAAGTCAATTGGTTTGTTTAAAGAAATTCAGATGGATGCCAAATAGTGACAAACTTTGCAGAAAGAATACGTAACAGCTGATGCTTACACATGTTAAGCTGTCGTATGAAGCTGGAGATGTTGTTGTGTTTGAAGTACTTGGGGAGCAGCTCCTTGGCAAACCTTTGCTCATCCAGAATGCAGAAGTTCTCACCATTCTAGGAAACAAGAAGCAACAGTCAGGGAACAAGCATAATTCTTCTAAGGGGTTGCTCCTAAGCCGAGACCATAAAGCAACAGAGACAGTTCCGGCAGCGGGGGAGGCACTTGGCAAAGGGAATTGTCTGTGCGAGCAATTCTGAGCACTTGGGACTGCACTAAAAAGTTTGAATCCAAAAAGATCGCTATGTGGAACACTGGAACACTTCTATTGAACGGGGGATATTTTTTTTAAAGCCCTGAAGTTTTGATCATAATCCAAAGAAAAATAGCTCTAAAAACACACGTATCCGTGCGCAAGAAACATCAATATTGCTGAAGCGCCCTGGATCCGTGCCGCCGGAGGGCTTTTACCGCCCAGGCGGGAGCTGCCCCGCTCCTGACGAGATTCTTCCATCGTACGCCTTGTGTCACCACTAAAAATAACCGAGTAACGTCGCGGGGTTACTGGCAGCCCGGACAACACAACCCAGCGGCGAGGCGGGGTAACGGTGACAGGCGCAGTTTCAGCTTTATCGTATTTTCAAGTTCAAACTTGCTGAAATCGCGCAGGTCTCGGTGTCATTTCTGGGCTGTCCGCAAAGCGAACGAAGATGCCGCGTTCCCCCGCGCGTTTGCCTTGGGGAAGGCCGAACCTCTGGGAAAAAAGCGGCGAAAAGTCCCACGGATTTCGAAGTGACGGGGACAAAAATAAACGCCGCGGTCGTGCCGGCTGCGGAGCTGCTCCGCGGGGGGTGGCCGTGCCCTGCGCCTGCGGGCGCGCGGGACCGAGGCCTGTCCTCCGCCTCGGCGGGCGAGAATCAACATTTAATTACTCCTTAAAGCGCCTGTTTCCGCTGAGCGCCTCCGCTCCGACCTAACGACGCCTAATTTGAGGTCTGAGCACCGGGACGCGCTCCGCCGCGCCGCCC